AGAGAGAGAGAGAGAGAGAGAGAGAGAGAGAGAGAGAGAGAGAGAGAAAGGAAAGGAAAGGAAGGAAGGAAGGAAGGAAGGAAGGAAGAAAGAAAGAAAGAAAGAAAGAAAGAAAGAAAGAAAGAAAGAAAGAAAGAAAGAAAGAAAGAGAAAGAAAAAGAAAGAGGCAGAGCAATTATTTCAATCAGGAATCTTGCCATGATTAGAGTTAAATATGCAGAATCTATGGAGGCTATCAAATCCAACCCACCACTTGCTCCAAGTTGAGCATCACATTGGTGGTGGATTTCTTGAAGGGGATAATCCACCAGGCTCTCACAACGCAGGCTCATTTAAACCAGATTTTGCTGTTGGATGCACAGTGAAATAATTGTGTGACTGCTTATGTATCCAACCTGGCAGCCTCACGTTCTTTTACTTAGTCGCAAAGGTGCTTTTTCAAGAGGCAACTGGACTGTCTGTTTTTTCTTTGAAGAAGTTTCACTCAGAGGTGGTATTCAGCAGGTTCTGACCAGTTCTGCAGAACCATTAGTAGAAATTTTGAGTAGTTTGGAGAACCAACAAATACCACCTCTGACTGGGGATATTACAGTATCTTTCCCCTGCCATACCCACAGAACCAGTAGTAAAAAAAATTTGAATCCCACCACTGGTTTCACTTCTCAAACAAGAAGCTTCTTTAGTTCATTTTGGGCTCCATTGGGGTTGAAAGTCATGGAACTGAAGAAGCTTCTTGGATGAGAAGTGAAACATCTTCCAAGAAAAAAACAGAAAGCCCAGTTGCCTCTTGAAAAAGCACCTTTGGGACAACCATGACCTGGATGACTGAGAATCGCCATAGACATTTCTTTTACGTACTAATGTAGCTCTTTTTGAATATTTGGTGAACATTCTGGAAAAAAAACCAGGGTAGCATTTGGCTAGCATGAGTTTCATTGTGACTTACAGATTTCAGAAAAACCTCACAGTTGCATATCAGTGAGGCTCTTTACAAGCAGACCAAGGGGGGGGGACGGCAGGGACTGCTGGGGGTTCACAGGGGTTCGGAAGAGCCCCTAGCTAAGATTCTGTGCAGTTCAAAGAACCCCCAAATCCCACTCCTAGCTGGCTCCACCCACTCCACCCCTCCCAGGAGTCCCCACATAGCCTGTTTTGGATGCAGGTAAGTGCAGGTCGTGTGTGGAGGGCAAAAAACGGGCCTCCCAGAAGTTTGGGAAAGCCGGAAATGGGCCCATTTCTGGCTTCCAGAGAGGCTTTGGTGGATCAAGGAAAGCCTCCGGAGCCTGGGAGGGCGAAAACACCTCCCCTGCCATGGTGCAGAAGGCCGACTAGGCCACGCCCATCATGGCCACACCCACCAAGCAACCAGAGAACCCTTCTCTAAAGTGTTTGAAGCCCACCCCTGAAGCAGGCTGATAATCGTGTGGAACAATTGCAACCAAGTCCATGATGTGCCTTCCAGAGCCCCACTAATGGTAAATGTGTGCAGGGTCTGATTAATACATCAACCTGGACGCTGCAGTTGTGACTTGTGATTCACAAAAGAGCAACGCAGTCTCTCTTTAATTGCCAGGAGGAATGTAATAGCAAAGTTATGAAGACTTGCCAAACTACCACAAACAGTTATTGGTGAACATGTTTGGTGCAGTGAGTTAACTTTTGTTATATAGGTGGTCCTCGACTTACAACAGTTCAGTTAGCAGCCATTCCAAGTTACAACGGCACCGGAAAAATGTGACATGACCATTTTTCACAGTTATGACCATGGTCGTGTGATCAAAATTCAGACACTGGGCAACATCTTTTTGACGGCTGTTCCATCCCAAGGTCATGTGATCACTTTTTAAAAACTTCTGACCAGCAAAGTCAAAGGGGAAAGCCAGATTCATTTAACAACCGGGTTGCTAACTGATCAAACTGCAGTGATTCACTTAACAATGGGGACAAGAAAGGTTGTAAAACAGGGCAAAACTCACTTAAGCAAATGGTCTCGCTTAACAACAGAAATGTTGGGCTCAATTGCGGTTCTAAGTAGAGGACTACCTGTATAAAGAAAAGATTCTCAGTTGCTGATTTAGAGTAATTGTAATTCTTATCACACCAATTATTATATCTTGGTCTACATCCAGAGAAGAGAGTTGCTACCAAAGAGCAGATTTTCTGCAAGTGTGTGAGTGTATAGATGTGTATGTGGTGCATGTGAGAGAAAAAAACAGGTGTGTGAAGTCTCAAATGGATGAAAGTTATCTATTTTCTTTAACTATATGCACTGTGATTCACTTAACAACTGTAGCAAGAAAGGTCGTAAAATCTGGCAAAACTCTCTTAACAACTGTTTCACTTAGCAACATAAATTTTGGCCTCAGCTGTGGTTCTAAGTCAAGGACTACCTGCACAATCATGAAATAGTAATCAATGGTAAATTTACAATCAATTATAAATATCCATGATACAAATACAGGTAGTCCTCAACTTACAGCCAATTGCTTAGCAATGATTCAAAGTTATGACAGATCCCAGCCTCCCTACAGTCATGTGACCACATTTTGGACACTCACGAACCAGCTGACCATTTGCAGCATCCTGCACTCCCGTAACTACGATTTATAACGTTTGTAGCTGAAAACCTGGCATCTGCTTACAAATGTGCCATAGTGAACATTGGATTTACTTAATGACATCAGCATTCTCTTTACAACCATGGCATTCACTTAATGACCACCACAAAAAAGGTCATAAAACTGTCACACGATGTCCTGCTTAATGACTGTCACGTTCTAACAACTAGAATTGTACTTCTGGACTACCTGTACCAATACCAATAGCCCTTAGATTTATATACCATTTCACAGTGCTTTACAACCCTCTCTAAGTGGTTTACAGAGTCAGCTTATGGCCCCCAACAATCTGGGTCCTCATTTTATTGACCTCAGAAGGATGGAAGGCTGAATCAACCTTGAGCCTGGTGAAAATTGAACTGCCAAATTGCAGGCAGCTGGCAGTCAGCAGCAGTAGCCTGTATTACTGCACTCTAACCACTGTGCCACCACGGCTCTTGAAAGTTGATAATACTAATAAGCATTTACAACATTTACAACCTCTGGAGGCAAGTTGTTCCACTGATTAATTGTTCTGTCAGGAAATTTCTCCTTAGTTCTAAGTTGCTTCTCTCCTTCATTAGTTTCCACCCATTGCTTCTTGCAATGGATATCAGATGCTTTGGAGAATAGCTTGACTCCCTGTTCTTTGTGGCAGCCCCTGAGATATTGGAACACTGCTATCATGTCACCCCTAGTCCTTCTTTTCATCAAACTAGACTTACCCAGTTCCAGCAACCATTCTTTATGTTTTAGCCTCCAGTCCCCTAATTATCTCAGTTGCTCTTCTCTGCACTACAGACCATAACTACGATCATATGTTAAATTCCCCAACATATCATTGCCCACAATCGGGGGTTTGACCACCATCATTCCCAGTTGCAAGATGGTTGGAAATGATAAGATCCCACACCTCTGAGGAACACCAGGTTGGATAATATTCCGCATCATGATTTCATGCATGGTTCTTAAGAGCTCAGCGAATTTCCCCTTTATTTTAGTAAATCCTGGCTTATTCTTTATTTGAAGGACCCTGTCTTTGCACTCTACAGTCAGGGTCCTGAGAAATTGTGACAGCGTGCCCCACACGTGAGATAATAACTCACGATTATTAAAAGGGACATAAGACCCTCAGGTCTTCTTGGCACTACATTTCCTGAGTTGCATCATTGCTACAAATAAGCACTCATTGTGCAAAGTGGCAGCTGATCCAGACATATACCACCATGCCAGCTGCCAAGATTGCCGATCCTTTAATGAAAGTAAATTAACATCTGATCGCCAGTCCACCGGTCTAATGAATTAACTGTTCGGTTAAGTTATTATAGACATTTAGCTGCTGCCTTTTCTAATGTTTTGTATTTGGAGAGCCCATAATAATCAGAAAATTAGTTTTAATTCTATAATTGCTATGACAATGGCAGACATTAACAAATGTGATCCCAGAAATGACTTGTTTTACGTTATTTCATTCAAATTCACACTAGTTACTATATTACTGCTAGACAGGGAAACCAAATTAGACCATTCTTCCTTGCCAAAGGATATGATCCGTCTGCAATAGTCTCCCTTTTTCTGTATTTATTTTATAAGAATGTTTAAATACAATAAAAGTATGAAGAATCAAAGGAAGGTAAGAAAAATAATAGAATTGTGATTTCCACCCTTCTTTCTCTTGAGTAGTTACTATCTTACTATTTCTCATCCTTTTTTAAAAACTTTGTAACTACCTTCCTCTAAACTGATTGATGTAAATCATCAATTCTGTCTTTTCTTCTTTTAACAAAAACTCCATATAAAAGTTTCAGTCTTTCAAAATAGGTTGCATTATTGTCCTGATAAGGAGGAAATTCTGCCATGTGCCAGATGTCAGTGCTTCTGGGCTTATGTAATCACTGTTTCCTATAGTTTTCATTTATTTATGAATCTATTATTTATGTATTCATTAACAATAGGTTGATTCCATCTCATTAAAAGTTCTAAGTGCTGAACAAAATATCTCAAACAAGTTCTCCAAGAAAAGTCAAGATGTAACTAATAGCAACATTAGTTGTAGAA